GAGTTTACGGGTTAAAAGTCGAGTCGCTCAGTTCTGGACACGCTGCACGTTGTACTATTAGTACTGTAGTACTATAGTACTAATACTGTAGTATAGTACTACTGTAGTACTATAATACAGTATACTACAGTATAGTATACTACAGTACTACTACTGTAGTATTTATACTGTAGTACTACACCACTGTTTAGCAAACACTGGGTCACGGCCCTCTGGTCGGGGCCCTCGGGACACACTGGACAGTACATGTACATTTACTGTAGTACTGTAGTATTGTAGTACTGTAGTATTGTAGTACTGTAGTATTTGTAGTACTGTAGTTTTGTAGTACTGTAGTATTGCAGCACTGTAGTACTGTAGTTTTGTAGTACTGTAGTATTGTAGTACTGTAGTATTGTGGTACTGTAGTATTGTAGTGTTGCAGTACTGTAGTATTGTATTGTAGTGCAGTTGTGTAGTATGTAGTATTGTAGTACTGTAGTATTGCAGTACTGTAGTATTGTAGTACTGTAGTACTGTAGTATTAGTGTACTGTAGTACTGTAGTATTGTAGTATTGCAGTACTGTAGTACTGTAGTATTGTAGTACTGTAGTATTGCAGTACTGTAGTATTGTAGTACTGTATTACTGGAGTATTGCAGTACTGTAGTATTGCAGTACTGTAGTATTGTAGTACTGTAATACTGTAGTATTGCAGTGCTGTAGTACTGTAGTATTGTAGTATTGCAGTACTGTACTACTGTAGTATTGTAGTACTGTAGTACTGTAGTATTGTAGTACTGTAGTAGTACTGTAGTACTGTAGTATTGTAGTACTGTAGTACTGTAGTATTGCAGTACTGTAGTACTGTAGTACTGTAGTATTGCAGTACTGTAGTATTGTAGTACTAGTGGACAGTCTGGTTGGGAGAGACACAGAGACTCGCTTAAATTTTCAGTGTTTATTTGTGAAACTCAAAACCTGAAAATGTTTCAATGTGACACTAAAACTCTGCTAAAGCTGAAGCTGAACACGATGCAACAACTTCAGTCTAAATATTTGATAAAGACCAAACTTTTCAAAAATCTGAACAGTTTTAAAAACGTTTTTACCACATCAGAAAAAAACACTTTAAACATTAAAAACACAAAACCTGCACATCCCTGAGGCTCAGACCTTCAGCTGTTCACAAAGTCCTTCAGCTGTTCACAAAGTCCTTCAGCTGTTCACAAAGTCCTTCAGCTATTCAGGTTTTCAAAGCGCGGCTTGATCTGCAGACTCCACCCTGAAACAGAAACAACCGTGAGGACTAAACCAGGACTAAACCAGGACTAAACCAGAACTAAACCAGGACTAAACTAGAAAAGCACTCAGAGAGCGCAGACCTCCGCCAAGGACGACAGTCCCTCTCATATCAATTGTGTTTTCCATAAATATCTGTCTCGTATCTTTCAATTTGGAATATGAAAGAGGATCCCATTGTCCATCCCTGAGTCAAATTTCATGGGGTTTGGTCAATAATTAACGGAGATATTGAGAAACAAAATTTTTGGCCCCATTTACCACAATGTTAACTAAAATTTCAAAGTGATCCAGAATCCAGGATTTCAAAATGAAATCAGTTCTTCCTTTTCACATTTCCAACAAATCCTGAAAATTTCATCAAAATCGGTCCATAACTTTTTGAGTTATGTTGCTAACAGACAAACAAACAGACAAACAGACAAACGCCGGCAAAAACATAACCTCCTTGGCGGAGGTAACCAGGACTAAACCAGGACTAAACCAGGACTAAACCAGGACTAAACCAGGACACAGAGAACAGTGGTCACCTCGGCCGACCACAGCGCCCCCTGGAGGAGTGTCAGGATCCTCTGGAGAACTGCACAGAGAGATGAAGGACGGCAGCTTCTGAAGAGGACCAGGACTGGGACCAGGACTGGGACCAGAACTGGGACCAGGACTGGGACCAGAACTGGGACCAGGACAGGACTGTGGAGCAGGACTGGAAGAGTGAACAGCTGCAGGGTCTGGAGTCTGCGCTCTGCTTCTGACAAAGAAAAAAACAAACTTTTAAACACTGCAGGAGTCAAACCTTTCAGCTGTTCAGTTTGTTGGGCACAGGTTAAAGACAAAGAACTCTGTGAGTGTTACAGAGGAGTATTAACTCTGTGAGTGTTACAGAAGTATTAACTCTGTGAGTGTTACAGAGGAGTATTTACTCTGTGAGTGTTACAGAGGAGTATTTACTCTGTGAGTGTTACAGGAGTATTTACTCTGTGAGTGTTACAGAAGTATTTACTCTGTGAGTGTTACAGAGGAGTATTTACTCTGTGAGTGTTACAGAGGAGTATTTACTCTGTGGGTGTTACAGAGGAGTATTTACTCTGTGAGTGTTACAGAGGATATTTACTCTGTGAGTGTTACAGAGAGTATTTACTCTGTGAGTGTTACAGGAGTATTTCTTGTGAGTGTTTACAGAGGAGTATTTACTCTGTGAGTGTTACAGAGAGTATTTACTCTGTGAGTGTTACAGAGGAGTATTTACTCTGTGAGTGTTACAGAGGAGTATTTACTCTGTGAGTGTTACAGAGAGTATTTACTCTGTGAGTGTTACAGAGGAGTATTTACTCTGTGAGTGTTACAGAGGAGTATTTACTCTGTGAGTGTTAGAGTATTTACTCTGTGAGTGTTACAGAGGTATTTACTCTGTGAGTGTTACAGAGGAGTATTTACTCTGTGGGTGTTACAGAGGAGTATTTACTCTGTGAGTGTTACAGAGGAGTATTTACTCTGTGAGTGTTACAGAGGAGTATTTACTCTGTGAGTGTTACAGAGGAGTATTTACTCTGTGAGTGTTACAGAGGAGTATTTACTCTGTGAGTGTTACAGAGGATATTACTCTGAGGAGTATTTACTCTGTGAGTGTTACAGAGGAGTATGAACTCTGTGAGTGTTACAGAGGAGTATTTACTCTGTGGGTGTTACAGAGGAGTATTTACTCTGTGAGTGTTACAGAGGAGTATTTACTCTGTGAGTGTTACTGAGGAGTATTTACTCTGTGAGTGTTACAGAGGAGTATTTACTCTGTGAGTGTTACTGAGGAGTATTTACTCTGTGAGTGTTACAGAGGATATTTACTCTGTGAGTGTTACAGAGGAGTATTTACTCTGAAGTTGTGTTGATGGATGTTTGTGACTCAAAAAAACCAAACTGTCTCTTTAAATGTTTCTCCTCTGACCCTGCTATTGTGTCTTTAGGCAAGACAAACTTTGGACCAATCAGTGCTGACCTTTTTGCATGTGGGCGGGGCTTCTTGGCTGCGCTGCGTCTGATTGGTTGTTTGTGTTGGAGTTTACAGTCGTCGCCGCGGGAACAGTTTTTATCCAGACAAACCAGAGTGTGCTTTTTCTTACACTGAAACACATCGAACACAACAGGACGACTTGTAGTAGTAGTAGTAGTAGTAGTAGTAGTAGTAGTACCTTCTGTCCTTGTGGGCAGTATCCGCACAGGAACAGTAGTAGTAGTAGTAGTAGTAGTAGTATTTGTAGTAGTAGTATTTGTAGTAGTAGTACCTTCTGTCCTTGCGGGCAGTATCCGCGCAGGAACAGTAGCAGTAGTAGTAGTATTTGTAGTAGTAGTATTTGTAGTAGTACTTGTCCTTGCGGGCAGTATCCGCAGGCAGTAGTAGTAGTAGTAGTAGTATTTGTAGTAGTAGTACCTTCTGTCCTTGCGGGCAGTATCCGCGCAGGACCAGTAGTAGTAGTAGTAGTAGTAGTAGTAGTAGTATTTGTAGTAGTAGTATTTGTAGTAGTAGTACCTTCTGTCCTTGCGGGCAGTATCCGCGCAGGAACAGTAGTAGTAGTAGTAGTTGTAGTAGTAGTATTTGTAGTAGTAGTACCTTCTGTCCTTGCGGGCAGTATCCGTAGTAGTAGTAGTAGTAGTAGCAGTAAAGTAGTAGTAGTAGTAGTATTTGTAGTAGTAGTACCTTCTGTCCTTGCGGGCAGTATCCGCGCAGGAACAGTAGTAGTAGTAGTAGTAGTATTTGTAGTAGTAGTATTTGTAGTAGTAGTACCTTGTCCTTGCGGGCAGTATCCGAGCAGGAACAGTAGTAGTAGTAGTATTTGTAGTAGTAGTATTTGTAGTAGTAGTACCTTGTCCTTGCGGGCAGTATCCGCGCAGGAACAGTAGTAGTAGTAGTAGTAGTAGTATTTGTAGTAGTAGTACCTTCTGTCCTTGCGGGCAGTATCCGTGCAGGAACAGTAGTAGTAGTAGTAGTAGTATTTGTAGTAGTAGTATTTGTAGTAGTAGTCCTGTGCGGGCAGTATCCGCGCAGGAACAGTAGTAGTAGTAGTAGTAGTAGTATTTGTAGTAGTAGTACCTTCTGTCCTTGCGGGCAGTATCCGTGCAGGAACAGTAGTAGTAGTAGTAGTAGTAGTATTTGTAGTAGTAGTACCTTCTGTCCTTGCGGGCAGTATCCGCGCAGGAACAGTAGTAGTAGTAGTAGTAGTAGTAGTATTTGTAGTAGTAGTACCTTCTGTCCTTGCGGGCAGTATCCGCGCAGGAACAGTAGTAGTAGTAGTAGTAGTAGTATTTGTAGTAGTAGTACCTTCTGTCCTTGCGGGCAGTATCCGCGCAGGAACAGTAGTAGTAGTAGTAGTAGTATTTGTAGTAGTAGTACCTTCTGTCCTTGCGGGCAGTATCCGCGCAGTAGTAACAGTAGTAGTAGTAGTATTTGTAGTAGTAGTACCTTCTGTCCTTGCGGGCAGTATCCGCGCAGGAACAGTAGTAGTAGTAGTAGTAGTAGTAGTAGTATTTGTAGTAGTAGTACCTTCTGTCCTTGCGGGCAGTATCCGCGCAGGAACAGTAGTAGTAGTAGTAGTAGTATTTGTAGTAGTAGTATTTGTAGTAGTAGTACCTTGTCCTTGCGGGCAGTATCCGAGCAGGAACAGTAGTAGTAGTAGTATTTGTAGTAGTAGTAGTATTGTAGTAGTAGTACCTTCTGTCCTTGCGGGCAGTATCCGTGCAGGAACAGTAGTAGTAGTAGTAGTAGTAGTATTTGTAGTAGTAGTACCTTCTGTCCTTGCGGGCAGTATCCGCGCAGGAACAGTAGTAGTAGTAGTAGTAGTATTTGTAGTATTTGTAGTAGTAGTAGTACCTTCTGTCCTTGCGGGCAGTATCCGCGCAGGAACAGTAGTAGTAGTAGTAGTAGTATTTGTAGTAGTAGTACCTTCTGTCCTTGCGGGCAGTATCCGCGCAGGAACAGTAGTAGTAGTAGTAGTATTTGTAGTAGTAGTATTTGTAGTAGTAGTACCTTCTGTCCTTGCGGGCAGTATCCGCGCAGGAACAGTAGTAGTAGTAGTAGTAGTATTTGTAGTATTTGTAGTAGTAGTACCTTCTGTCCTTGCGGGCAGTATCCGTGCAGGAACAGTAGTAGTAGTAGTAGTAGTAGTATTTGTAGTAGTAGTACCTTCTGTCCTTGCGGGCAGTATCCGCGCAGGAACAGTAGTAGTAGTAGTAGTAGTATTTGTAGTATTTGTAGTAGTAGTAGTACCTTCTGTCCTTGCGGGCAGTATCCGCGCAGGAACAGTAGTAGTAGTAGTTGTAGTATTTGTAGTAGTAGTACCTTCTGTCCTTGCGGGCAGTATCCGCGCAGGAACAGCTCACACACTTGTGCGTTCTTGGACACGTAGACGTGGCTGTACGGACACTCAGGGTGAGAACAACGACCCTTCAGGAAGAACAAGCACACGGGCATCTGCAGAACCAGAACCAGAACCACCATCAGAACCAGGACCAGGACCACCATCAGAACCAGACCAACCAGAACAGAACAGACCACCATCAGACCAGGACCACCATCCAGGACCACAACCAGAGACCAGAACCAGGACCAGGACCAGAACCACAACCAGAACCACCATCAGAACCAGAACCACCATCAGAACCAGGACCAGGACCACCATCAGAACCAGAACCACCATCAGAACCAGGACCAGGACCACCATCAGAACCAGAACCACCATCAGAACCAGGACCAGGACCACAACCAGGACCACCATCAGAACCAGGACCAGGACCAGGACCACCATCAGAACCAGGACCAGGACCACCATCAGAACCAGAACCAGAACCACCATCAGAACCAGAACCAGAACCACCATCAGAACCAGAACCACCACCATCAGAACCAGAACCAGAACCACATCAGGACCAGACAACACCAGAACCAGAACCAGGACCAGAACCATCAGAACCAGGACCAGGACCAGGACCACCATCAGAACCAGGACCAGGACCACAACCAGAACCACCATCAGAACCAGGACCAGGACCAGAACCAGAACCAGGACCACAACCAGAACCACCATCAGAACCAGGACCAGGACCAGAACCACAACCAGGAACCACAACCAGAACCACCATCAGAACCAGGACCAGGACCAGGACCACCATCAGAACCAGGACCAGGAACCACAACCAGACCACCACCAACCAGAACCAGAACCACCATCAGAACCAGGACCAGGACCACCAACCAGACACAACCAGACCAGGACCAGGACCAGGACCACAACCAGAACCACCATCAGAACCAGGACCAGGACCAGAACCAGGACCACAACCACAACCAGAACCACCATCAGAACCAGGACCAGGACCAGGACCACCATCAGAACCAGGACCAGGACCAGAACCACAACCACAACCAGAACCACCATCAGAACCAGGACCAGGACCAGGACCACCATCAGAATCAGGACCAGAACCAGGACCACAACCAGAACCACCATCAGAACCAAGACCAGGACCACAACCAGAACCACCATCAGGACCAGGACCAGAACCAGGACCACCCCAGGACCAGGACCAGGACCACAACCAGAACCACCATCAGAACCAGGACCAGGACCAGGACCACAGAACCACAATCAGACCAGGACCAGGACCAGGACCAACCACCATCAGACACAACCAGAACCAGGACCAGGACAGGACCAGGAACCAACCAGAACCACCACATCAGAACCAGAACCAGGAACCAGAACCACCATCAGACCAGGACCAGGACCAGAACCACCATCAGAACCAGGACCAGGACCACAACCAGAACCACCATCAGAACCAGGACCAGGACCACAACCAGAACCACCATCAGAACCAGGACCAGGACCAGGACCACAACCAGAACCACCATCAGAACCAGGACCAGGACCACAACCAGAACCACCATCAGAACCAGGACCAGGACCACAACCACAACCACAACCAGAACCAGAACCACCATCAGAACCAGGACCAGGACCACAACCACAACCAGAACCAGGACCAGGACCAGGACCACCATCAGAACCAGGACCAGAACCACAACCACAACCAGAACCACCATCAGAACCAGGACCAGGACCAGGACCACCATCAGAACCAGGACCAGAACCACAACCACAACCAGAACCACCATCAGAACCAGGACCAGGACCAGGACCACCATCAGAACCAGGACCAGAACAGGACCACAACCAGAACATCAACCAGAACCAGGACCAGGACCACAACCAGAACCACCATCAGGACCAGGACCAGAACCAGGACCACCATCAGGACCAGGACCAGAACCAGAACCAGGACACCACCAGAACCACCAGGACCAGAACCAGGACCACAGAAACCAGGACCAGGAACACAACCAGAACCACCATCAGGACCAGGACCAGGACCAGAACCACCATCAGAACCAGGACCAGGACCAGGACCAGAACCACCATCAGAACCAGGACCAGGACCAGGACCAGAACCAGACCCACCAGAAACCAGGACCAGGACCAGAACCAGAACCACCATCAGAACCAGGACCAGGACCAGAACCACCATCAGAACCAGGACCAGGACCAGACCAGAACCACCATCAGGACCAGGACCAGAACCACCATCAGAACCAGGACCAGGACCACAACCAGAACCACCATCAGAACCAGGACCAGGACCACAACCAGAACCACGATCAGGACCAGGACCAGAACCAGGACCAGAACCAGGACCAGGACCAGAACCAGGACCACAACCAGAACCACCATCAGAACCAGGACCAGGACCACAACCAGAACCACGATCAGGACCAGGACCAGAACCAGGACCATGGTCAGAACCAGGACCAGGACCAGAACCAGGACCAGGACCACAACCAGAACCACGATCAGGACCAGAACCAGAACCACGATCAGGACCAGAACCAGGACCAGAACCAGAACCAGGACCACGGTCAGGACCAGAACCAGAACCACAACCACGGTCAGAACCAGAACCAGGACCAGAACCACGGTCAGAACCAGGACCAGGACCAGAACCAAAACCATGGTCAGAACCAGGACCAGAACCAGGACCACGGTCAGAACCAGGACCAGGACCAGAACCAGGACCACGATCAGGACCAGGACCAGAACCAGAACCAGAACCAGAACCACGGTCAGAACCAGAACCAGGACCAGAACCACGGTCAGAACCAGGACCAGGACCAGAACCACGGTCAGAACCAGGACCAGGACCAGAACCAGGACCACGATCAGAACCAGGACCAGGACCAGAACCACAGTCAGAACCACAACCAGGGTAGGACATAGGAGGTAGGAGACAGGAGGTAGGACACAGGAGGTAGGAGGTAGGACAAAAGAGGTAGGACACAGAAGGTAGGAGGTAGGGGATAGGACACAGGAGGTAGGACACAGGAGGTAGGAGGTAGGGGGTAGGAGGTACCTTGTCCTTGGAGACCTTGTGGGAGAAAGGACACTCATCTCCCTGTTTACAGCGACCCCTGAGGAACCTGCACACACAGAACCAGAACTGAACCAGGACTGAACCAGGACTAAACCAGGACTGAACCAGGACTGAACCAGGACTGAACCAGGACTAAACCAGGACTGAACCAGAACTGAACCAGGACTAAACCAGGACTGAACCAGGACTAAAGTTCTGTTTATTTCAGTTGACAGGGCTGCTCTCCAACTCAGTGTCTGTGAAGAATTTGTAGTACTTATAATAGTATTTGTTGTACTTGTAGTATTTGTAGTAGTAGTAGTAGTAGTATTTGTAGTACCTGGTACACATGACCACCTTGTCGGGGTCGTGGACGTAGTGTAGTAGTAGTATTTGTAGTAGTATCTGTAGTAGTAGTAGTAGTAGTAGTATTTGTAGTAGTAGTGGTAGTAGTATTTGTAGTACCTGGTACACATGACCACCTTGTCGGGGTCGTGGACGTAGTGTAGTAGTAGTATTTGTAGTAGTATCTGTAGTAGTAGTAGTAGTAGTATTTGTAGTAGTAGTGGTAGTAGTATTTGTAGTACCTGGTACACATGACCACCTTGTCGGGGTCGTGGACGTAGTGTAGTAGTAGTATTTGTAGTAGTATCTGTAGTAGTAGTAGTAGTAGTAGTATTTGTAGTAGTAGTGGTAGTAGTATTTGTAGTACCTGGTGCACACGGCCACCTTGTCGGGGTCGTGGACGTAGGGGCAGGAGGTTCCTCTGTTGCAGCGTCCGAATCGGTTGTAGAACATACAGAACTGTCCCTGCCCCGAGCGACAGGAGCGAGACGAGCGACAGGAGCGAGCCACCGACAGGCTGCGGAGGAGGGCGCACCTGCCACAGAGAGACAGGGACAGACAGGGACAGACAGGGACAGACAGGAACAGACAGGGACAGACAAAGAGACAAAATGTTGAAGTCCAGACTCAGAGTGACCTGGTGGAGTCACTGAATGTTCCTTCATGATGGAGCAGCGACACCAGAAGAATCAAACTCCGACGCCCCTGACCCTAACTCTAAACCTAACTCTAAACCTAAATCTAACTCTAACCCTAACTCTAAACCTAACTCTAACTCTAACCCTAACTCTAAACCTAACTCTAAACCTAACTCTAACTCTAACCCTAACTCTAAACCTAACTCTAAACTCTAACCCTAACTCTAACTCTAACTCTAAACCTAACTCTAACCCTAACTCTAACCTAAACTCTAACTCTAAACTAAACCTAAACTCTAACTCTAACTCTAAATCTAACCTAACTCTAACTCTAACTCTAAATCTACTCTAACCCTAACTCTAACTCTAACCCTAACTCTAGCTCTAACCCTAAATCTAACTCTAACCCTAACTCTAACCCTAACTCTAACTCTAAAACTAACTCTAACTCTAACTCTAACCCTAAATCTAACTCTAACCCTAACCCTAAACCTAACTCTAACTCTAACCCTAACTCTAACTCTAACTCTAACTCTAACCCTAACTCTAGCTCTAACCCTAACTCTAACTCTAACCCTAACTCTAACTCTAACCCTAACTCTAAACCTAACTCTAACCCTAACTCTAACTCTAACTCTAAATCTAACTCTAAATCTAACTCTAACCCTAACTCTAACTCTAACTCTAACCTAAATCTAACTCTAAACCTAACTCTAAACCTAACTCTAACTCTAACCCTAAATCTAACTCTAACCCTAACTCTAAACCTAAATCTAACTCTAACCCTAACTCTAAACCTAACTCTAACTCTAACCCTAAATCTACCTCTAACCCTAACCCTAACTCTAACCCTAACTCTAGCTCTAACCCTAAATCTAACTCTAACCCTAACTCTAACCCTAACTCTAACTCTAACCTAAATCTAACTCTAAACCTAACTCTAAACCTAAATCTACCTCTAACTCTAACCCTAAATCTAACTCTAACCCTAACTCTAACTAACTAACCTAACTAACCCTAATCTACCTCTAACCCTAACTCTAACCCTAACTCTAGCTCTAACCCTAAATCTAACTCTAACCTAACTCTAACCCTAACTCTACCTCTAACTCTAACCCTAAATCTAACTCTAACCCTAACTCTAACCTCTAACTCTAACTCTAACTCTAACTCTCTAACTCTAAACCTAACTCTAACCTAAAACTCTAACTCTAACTCTAACCCTAACTCTAACTCTAACCCTAAATCTAACTCTAACCCTAACTCTAAACCTAACTCTAGCTCTAACCCTAACCCTAACTCTAACTCTAACTCTAACTCTAACCCTAACTCTAACTCTAACCCTAACCCTAACTAACCTAACTCTAACTCTAACCCTAACTCTAACCCTAACTCTAAATCTAACCCTAACTCTAACTCTAACTCTAACCCTAACTCTAACCCTAACTCTAACCCTAACTCTAACCCTAACTCTAACCCTAACTCTAAATCTAACCCTAACCCTAACTCTAACCCTAACTCTAACCCTAACTCTAACTCTTTCTGGCTCTGAAGGCGGTGACAGGTCTCAGGTGTTTTCAGAACATTTATGTGAGGTTTGTGTTTGTGACGGTGACGTTCTCGTTCTCGCCTCTGGAGTTCCTGCTCATGTTCTGTCTTTGTCCCTGTCAGTGGCAGGACCGTCCTGTGACCCTGTCAGTGGCAGGACCGTCCTGTGACCCTGTCAGTGGCAGGACCGTCCTGTGACCCTGTCAGTGGCAGGACCGTCCTGTGACCCTGTCAGTGGCAGGACCGTCCTGTGACCCTGTCTGGGCAGGTGTTTGGTTCGGGTGTCGTGGAGGTGTTGGAGCGAACTGTCCGCGCTCCACAGACGAGACAGAAACTGGCCTCAGCAGAGTGAAGCTTCATCCTCGGCCTCCTCCTCATCGTCAGGGTTTGGTTGGAGGTGGGACAGTTGGGGGCATTTTTGTGCGGGTGCTCGAGGTGCTCGAGGTGCTCACGGGGCGTTCGAGGTGCTCGCGGGGCGCTCGCGGGGCGCTCCCACAGCTCTGCCACCTCTCGAGCTTCACCCGCACATGTGGTCTCTCCTCCTCCTCTGGGCCTGGATCTTCTCAGATCTCTGGGATCTTCTCAGATCTCTGGGATCTTCTCAGATCTCTGGGATCTTCTCAGATCTCTGGGATCTTCTCAGATCTCTGGGATCTTCTCGGTGAGGGTTCGTGCTTGTTCCAGAGACTCAGGATCGTTCCATGAGAAGATTCTGTAGGACCAGAGTCACGGGCGACGGGGACTAGATCACCTCAGGTCGTCGGCGTCACACGTTTCACTCTTTTGGTGTCGTTGCTCTCAGCAGCGCCCCCTGGTGCTCAGGAGGATTCATAGAACCATAGTTACATTACGTAGGTTTCGTTGGACGGGCCAGAGTCCGTGGAGCCCGGGCTCGTCCGCGCTCACTTCCTGTCTGACTGTGGCTGCGCGCGCTTTAGTTCATTTCTACTTCCTGTGGCACTTACCTGGCCAGGTGTCTGGAGGCGGAGCTCGCGGGTGAGAGGGAAGCGGGGCCTGCAGACCTGCGAGGGGGCGGGGCCTTGGACAGTCTGTTGGCGGAGACTCGGTAAAGAGAACCTCTGATCCAGCACATAGAGGGCGACGTGGAGGCGCGGCCGAGGAGGGCGGGGCCAGAGAGGGCGGGGCCAGAGAGGGCGGGGCGGAGCCGGCTCTGAAGGAAACTCCTGAAATCATAAAAGTCCTGGTTTAGTCCTGGTCTAGTCCTGGTTTAGTCCT